TTACTTCTAGTCTTCATGCTAAGCTAAGCTAACAGTCTACTGGTTCTCTCTTTGTATTTAATATATAGATTTGAGAGCAGTATTGACCTTCTCATCTAACTCTTAAAAGGAAAGCAAATAAGCATATTTCTTAAAAAGGTGTTTTATCTGAAGCTCATGCCACAAACAGCTATCCAAGAGAGTGACTAGATTAGATTAGTCTCAGTCAATCCATAATTTGTACACATTGTACTCAGTTACTGCTTTTAGCTTCAATTTTAGTTTAATTATAAGCAAATCATCCTTTTCCCATAAAGCTTCATCAAGTTTTGCATTTTGCCTCGCCATGGATGCAACTAGTCTCACACTTGGATGAAATATTGTAATTTAGTCTGCTTGTGTGTGGTCTTCTACTCTTGATTGCATACCGCAAAATAATTTGGTCTAAAGTGCTGCACTACAATAGATCAGACATCTAACGTTTAACAACATCATGAACTTGATGAATGCTCTGACCCCTGATACTGGGCCACGTGACATCTGAGGATAGCTCACTGAAAGACAGTATTAGGTATATATCATACATGTGACATATTGCCATAGAAAAGGAGAGAGGAACCATGAATCGACAGGCAATTCCTGCAAGTTAGAATGCCCTTTTGTCATTCACAAAAGTAACAAATTGAAGAAATTGATTAAGGCATTCTTGAATTATTACCTGCAAAATGGAAAGTGAATTAAAGACCCACCACAGTCTCCACACCACTCGAGGAATGTGTATCTACTTTCACTTAATTTCATCATCCCTCTATGTGGGTCCATTTAAGAATCAAATATTCTCTTATTACTTGTGGGAAGTCAAATACACACACACACTCACAATAAAAGGCTGTCCCCTTGTTTTCAAGGTTACACTAGAGTTCTTCAGTCGCTCACAACACATTTGCATCAAACCACCAGCCAACAGCTGCCAATTAACAAACAGCCTCTCCGTTAATACACACACGTCACTGACAATTACAGCGTCGGGTGATCTCTCTCTCTCTGTAACAACAGAATGGTGCGATGCACACCCCTACCACTACGACGTCACGCACAGAAGGAGGAGGAGGATGGGTTTAGGTGTATGGACGACAGCAAATAACAGCTAATGTTTTATAAAGGGAGGAATGAAATGGGTAAGAAGGAAAAGTGCAGAGAAAAGGGGGGGGGGGATGTTCTGTGCCAGGAACAAGGCTTTCAGGATTAGTTCTGTCATGCAGTTACAAGGGCTGGAATAGTGGTTGGCTAGATGAGGCCTGACAGACAGAACAGACACACAAAATGCAGTGCGAAATACACACATAACGAAACAGCACACTTTTATGAGCAGAAAAAACACTCAAGCAATAAGTATGTGTGTAGAGCAGCAGAAGCACTACTGTAGGTGGATACATTTAGACATTCACACACAGAAACACATTCCTGTTAAAGTTTGCTTGTGTCCACAGCATTCTCTTAAGATCTTATTCCGATGTTGTATATTCACCATTTAGGTCCAATATCATAATGAAAGGGAAGCATTTCCTACAAAGAATTTTAATAAACGATTCGTCGGCAGCAGGGTACAAAAGCTTTAGAGCAGGAGCGGATTACTGCAGGATGACTTTGCACATGCACACACATAAAAGCAGGCACAAATAATTCACATCCTGCCACCTTTGTACACACACGCACATCCACACACTCTAACACATGCACACACAGCATAATGATCATTTCCTTCATGCAGCAGCACCAAATTGAACTATTCATTACTGTCAACCACGAAAACAGCATAGTGCGGGCATGGTAATGAAAATTTATTAATGTCCACAGCCACTAGATGGCACCCTCTTCCCTTTCATGTCTAATTTAGCTTCTCATTCCTCAGCCGATCAGCTGACTCTCTGTGGGATGGAGACCTACCAGATGCACTCCAAATACTAAGCTAAGATAAATGGCACTTACTTTGCTATATAGTATCCATTTGATTTGATTGATTAACAGTTTTATGCATATTAAAAACCTAACAATCTGTTTTAGAATATATTCACTTTAACCTTGGGGATTATATCTTGCATTTTCCATATATTACATTTTGTCTTGGTCTTGTGGGATAGGACTGTTATGGGCTTCTATCAGAAAGAATACATCAATTAACCGATCAATCAGTACCACTCAGCTTGTGGGAGGTTGGCTGTACCCAGCATGCCTTGGGGAACACAGTCAATACAGTGACCTTCAAGAAAACAAAAGATTTGCAGAATATAATCAGGCATACCGGGCACTGAAAAGTCAATGCCATACATTGCAAGGGAGATGGCTTGACATTCTCAGTGCAATGAAAAAGGAAGTGATTTCACATGTCTGCACACAGGCAATAAAAAACATTCAGTCATTTAAAAATGTATTATATTTGATACATACAGGTTATAAATACAGGTTATACAGGTTATACCAGTTATACATGAAAGATACAAACGTGTGCTAAAAGAATTTGATATCATATGGCACAGACTACAGTATAAACATCTGGTAAAAAAACCTAGAAAACATTAACAAATGAACTTTTAAAACTTTAAAGAGTCATTAAGCATAAGACAATAGCACTGAATCAAGTGCAGCAACAATCTTTAGGTCGGGTATTACATCATCAAGGACAGGCTAGGATGTTGTGATTCTACAGTTCTCAAACAGACTTGTCGAGAGGTGTCTGCTGAGGAAATTGAGACTGGAAGTTAGTGCCAATGACCATCATTTCTTCTTGCCAGCACTCTTGGCAAGTTTCTTGGGCTGCTGGGTGGCAGAAGCGGTGGGGGTTGTTTTTTCTAGAAATGCCTGCTGGGCCTCCTCCAGAGCTTGCTTCTCTTCTTGTTCCTTTTTCACGGACGCCATCTGACGGCTACTAAATGCCTCACAAGCATCAAGAAATTTCTTACAGCGCTGCCACAAGGCTGCCTGGAGACAAAGCAGAGAGGCAAAGAGAAAGAAGTTACACAATGATGTCTAACCAGAGAGAAAGGCGGCTGACTGATCTTTCTCTCTCTCTTTGTGAGTCAGAACTGATCATTATTACTGTCTACATCTTCACTTTTAGACAACACACATTTCTTTTTCTCTGTCCTGACTGACCTGCATGTTCTCATACATCTCCAACTGGCGTCTCATTAGCTCCTTCCTGTTGAGCTCCTGCTGTTTCTGGTGCTCCAGCACATTGTCTCGGACCAATCGGTAAGTCTGGATCTTCTCTAAGCGCTCCCTCTGCTGGATCTCCTCTATCTGTGAGTCCATCAGCACTGGAAAATCCTTTTGGCGTCTACATACATACACAAACACTTGATACAATGCGTACATGTACCTTAATTCACTGTCACATGAGCTGACACCTTTAAAACTTTTACAATATTGTCTCTAAACAGAAAGTTGAGGCTGAATAGTTTATTTATTTAGAGTGAATGCTAAAGACTTTTTTGAAAAAAATACAGTGTTGTGTAGCTGCATATGTTCCATCAAATCCCTCCAAGTTTTACAGGCTATTTTGCGAGATGGAACAACTGACAATGTTGACACAGGCGAGAAAATAAAAATGGAAATTTGGCAGATGAATGCAGAGATAGGCAGAGGAAATGATACACACACAGTCCCATGCCTTATCTCATATCCCAAGTCGTATATCCAGAATAGTCCATTTGGTTTTGGTTGTATTTGGGTATTTCTCTGTTAAGAGTCTATTGTATAACTTAAATTACATTTGTGTGTGTGCGTGTGTGTGAGAAAAGAGAAATGAGTGGGAATAGCCTTCTGAGGCACATACGCAGAGGGAATTATAGATGCTAAATATGGCTGCCTGTTTCCTATAAGCTGACCTTAATGAAGAGGGGAGGCCAGATGAGGTGATGATGGAGTTAATTTGGTTAATGAACATTGCCCTGTTCAACCTCTTTCACTGCGTGTAACGTGTGTGCACATGCTGTAAAGATGGCATGCATGAGTGTGTGTGTGCGTGTGTATGCAGGAGTGTGAATCGATGATGTGTCCTGTGGTGCACCTTTGTGAGAAAAGAGGTGTATTGCAGACTAATCAGACTCCCATAATAGACTACTCCTCAGGATCTCTCTCTCGGCTCGGATCGCAGGTCACAGTGTCAGCAGTCATTAGCAGCTGGACACGGACACGCGTTCGGGCACACACGCACACATGCACACACCCACAGCAGGAGAGGATGGAGAGGTGATGGGAGAGGGGGCACATCTCATTGGAGCGACGAGCTCATTGGGGTCCTGAAATAGCTCTCTAATTAACAGACCCAAATATCATCTCATTTATCATGGAGAGGCACGGACACAGGGAGAGATGGTGTGAGGGAGAGTAATGGGAGACTTCCCTTCAGACCACTGACACTGACAAAAGTCAAAAGTTGACAGTTTATACTATTTAGAAAAAGTGCACAAATTTGTCATATTTTCACAGATTTCCATCCTGTGGTTGCAACATACTACGTAAAAGAAATATGCATTGATTTGTATAGTTTACACCTCAGAAATAAATTCTTTGAAGGACCAGTGTGTAGAATT